CTTCCTTCCTTCCTTCCTTCCTTCCTTCCTTCCTTCCTTCCTTCCTTCTTTCTTTCTATCATGAGCTCAAGGACTTTTTCCTAACATTTGAAATACTTTTAATCAACTTGGCTCTTGTTAAGGAGTAGAGTGGGCATCCTTGTTCCCTTTCCCACCTTCTGACTCATGAAAATGTCCACAAGAGAGGTCAGAAGTTGGCTAGACTTCTCTCTTGGCAGAGTTAGATTCCCAGGTGATGTTGTGGCAACTGAAATAGCCCATGATCACTCCTGCAATACTGCTTGGTCCTCACCATCACCTTGTTCGGCAGCCTGGGGCTCAAGGGGGACTCAAGGTGGGTAGGACAAGCCCGAGCAGGCAAGGTAGGAAATTTAGCCACAACAAAATCTCTCTGATGAGCAGAACAGAATACTTTACTTGGTCAAGTGTGATTAGACACACAAGGAATTTGTCTCCAGTGCATAAGCTCTGTATAAAATGCAAAATGACAGAGTAATAATCATAATAATAAACAAAGTAATAATCATAATATCAAGTAATAACCATAATCACAATAATTATACCAATAAGAGAAGTAAGTGGAACATATGAGAAGGATAATAGTAATACAGATATACTACATGGGTAAATATATAGTACTTAGACATAAGTCAGTACTATGGAAATTAGGTGTTCAACAAGACAACAAGAGAAAAGAAGATTATGGAAAATTCCAAATAGCCCTGGATGAAATTCTAGCCTCTTAGGACAGAAGGATCTGATTCCATCAACACTGTAAAACCACCTGAAATTCTGCACAGATAACCAATGTGGAGGCCTTGGGCTTCCTCTAAATCAGGGGTATCAAATTCAAGGCCCGGTGCCCATATCCAGCCCATGGGGTGCTTAGATCTGGCCCATGGGGCCACCCTGGAAATAGCGAAGGACTGGCCCGTGGTGCCTCTGCCAGCCCCTCCTGAGCTCCGTTTTCACTGGCAGAGGGTGGCAGGAGGCTGTCCCAGCTGAAAACAGAACTCGCAAAGGGCCATGCATGGTCCCCCCGAGGTCTGTTTTTTTCTGGCAGAGGGTTGCAGGAGGTCAACACAGCCGAAAATGGAGCTCAGGAGCCCGTTTTCACTAGCAGAGCATTTGTGCCACTACAGGCGCACCCAACACAACTGATGCCATGCTGGCCACGCCCCACCAGGTCAAACACAACCCTGTCCCTCAGTGAAACTGAGTTTGACACCCTTGCTCTAAGTTGATGAGATGGCAGGCTGGCTAAGGAAAAGATTGCAAGCTTGGTTGTCTGCTTTGAGTTGGAAAACAGTCCCTTCCCTGAAATCCAAGGGTCTTCGCTGAATCCTGAGAGAAGCAACTGCATCTGGGGGCCCATAAGCCACCACTACTAACGTCTAACTTTTCTTGGCCAAGACGCAGAAGAAGCCAGTGAACCAATCCTAACAGAAGGAAGAAAAGGATGCGGCTGGGCCAGATGGCTGGGGTGCTGCTTCTCCTTCAGCACAGTAAGTTGCCTTTGTAATCTGCCTCCACATTTTGAGGGCATGTTCTCGCAACACATGTGTGTTATCCAGAGTGACCTACAATTACAAAAACCGGCCTGGGCAACCCTCATTGCCCAAGGAGTCTGGGATACCCGGTTGCATTTACCCAGTTGCCACACGGTTCTCCCTTCCGGAGGAGCACAAATCAAAAACACCAAGGCTGCACTTCAGGGTAACACCTTATATCCAGGATCCAAGTCTACTTTTAGGGTGGAGGTCTGGATTTCTCTCCCCACCCCGCAATTTCTGCAGCTGTCCAAGTTGTTTCTGCCTGACCTGCTCTGAAACCAGGTTCAATTACTCATCAATTACTGCTGATGAGTTTGATCACAGTGGCATAAAAGCCACACAAAAAAACATTGTAAGTGGGCCAATGTTCTTCCATGTGGTGCTAGGAATGACTCTCGCCTGTCAAGCCGGCTGTCACACAGGAAGCCTCCTTGGAAAGTGGCTCAGTTGCCATGGGACCCCTCAGAGCTAACCAGAGAGACGCTGTCCTGGCCGCCCTGGGCACCAGCAGGAGCAAAGGAGAACCAGGTTTAGTGAGACAAAGGGACAGATCTAGCTCTATCCAAACAACCAGCAGCCCCAGGGTTTCATGTTTCGGGGCTCACCTGGACGCCAGGAATAGGCCCATTTTCACCCTCCACGAGCCTTTGGGAGGCCCATGTTCCACAACCCTGGGCTCCACATGCCCCCTGCACTTACCTGGGATCCAAAACAGGCCGCATAGAGGCTCCTGGGCGGGGTGCAGCAGGACCAGCCGCTTGTCAGAACTACCGGTTCACCGAACCGGATATAAATTTAACATCCAGTTCGCCCGAACCGGTGCGAACTGGCTGAAGCCAATCCCTGGAAGGAGAATCAAAAACCTGGTGCAGAGAGGTGAGTCCCGAGGGAAAGCCAAAGGAAATGGTGAGGGAAAAGTTTCTGAAAGGGCATTTGTTAATATCTGGTTTATTAATTTATTTTAATCAGCATTTCACTGATGCTATGCAAATGTTTTAATACCTCTTTAGAAGCTAGTGGTGTGTTTCAGTGCTAAGACTGGTTGAAACATAAAGCTGGTGCTAATGTGGTGACTGTGCTACTGTATAATTGTGGCAGACACCATTTGCCCAGAGGGACAGAAGGACGTGGCAAACCATCTCCCCTCCGCCCAGATGTCCAGATGGAAAAAGAGGGAGCCAACCAGGAGCTGCTGGCCTAAGGCCCTTCCCTGCCTTTTCTTCACCTCACCTGCAACCTCGCTGGGGATTGTTGGCCAAATCTGATTCTAGATTCTGCCTCAGTTTATCTTTTGCAATAAGCCACCGAGTCAGAAGATCATTTAAAAGAAATTATTGGAGTACTCTGATAAAGTGGGGTCTCCCTATGAAAAGGGGAGCGAGGAAAAATGCATTACATTCACTCTTATAGTTAGCACAACAAAGGACTTCAAAGCAAAAGTGGATGGCTTTAGAAATAGTCACCTGATGTCCAATTACATCACAAGAGTTACAACATCCAATAGTACACGAGAGTAGCCATAGAAACGAGCACTGTATTCTGAGTAAAAGTAAAAGGAAGATTTGGGAAGGAAAAATGTCAAAATGGGTTTGGGCACGATACCTTCTCAGCGCTTCCCAAGGATGGGCTGGACTCTTTTCTTTGTTCACTGAGACATGAGAACAGCAGAAAACGAAACGGTGATCCACAATGTACCCAATACTCTCCTGTACCCAACCTGGGCCAGGTCTGAACGAGCAGCTTTCACTTGAAGGTTAAGGCGTAATTACGGCAAACTATTAACAATACATTTGAAAAAAACAAATTTAAAATTCAAGAAAACCCATGTTAGTTAACCAGTGCAACAGTACCACAAAAACCATGTTTCAAGCATTACAAAGACCATCCTGCATGGCCCTCAGGATGCTCCCTTTCCATTGCTGGAAACGGAGGGTCTGGAGACCTTATTAGGGCTTCCGGGACAGAGAAGGAGACCCACCTGCTGGCAAGTGGGGAGGGGGCTTAGAGATGGGGGAGGGGTTCAGGCTGGGCCTGATGTGGCAGCATCTCCCTTCCTGCACAGCCTCTGCATGCCAGGAGCTCAGCTGTTTTGCGGACTACATCCAGCGGCTGGAATGCACGTGGGGAGGCGGCCTCAGCCCAGCTCAAAGGGCCCTGTACAACCTCACCGCGACGTGGTAGGTATGAGGATGGGGCACTGCGCCCCCCACCCCCCGGCCCCCCAGGCGCCCTGGGCTTCTCTGTCCACTCAGAACAAGGAGCCCCAGTTGGGCTCTCTTGGCCTGGAGAGTCGTCCTGCCTGCCCAACTCGATTCGGGGGACCAGTGCGGGGGAGGGGAAGCGGCTCTCCTGTTGCAAGGGAGGCTCCTCGCGGGGCAGGTTGGGTGCAGTCAAGAGCTTCAGCCTTCCACCTGCAGAGCAGGAGAAAGCCTCCTGGATGGGGCGGGGGGGGGGGGGTCGGGCATTTCGCTCCCCCGGTTCCCTCCAGCAAGCCCTCCACGGGCCCTGGGAAGCGCCCTCACTGCTGGACCCCCCCTGAGGCGTTTGATTTTCCCAGGAACTGTGGAGATGGTGGGAGCTGCTCCTTCAACCTTACCGCCAGCAATGGCACCCATGCGCGCTATGCCTGCTTTTCCGAGCAGAAGCTCTGCTTTGCCCTCAACGCCTTTGAGGTCAGCATCGCCACAACTCCTGCGGAGGAGCCTTCGCGGCTGCCCCAAGGCTGCAATAAGACGTTCCTCTTCCAGAATCACAGTGAGTACAACCTGTGCTAGAACTCCCAAGCCGGTGCGAGAGATTCAGCAGCCGGTGGCAGCTGGACAAAGAGACCTCCGAGGGCCGCACTTGGGGCATCGCCCGGTGCTGCTTCCCTTGCGATGCCTTCCTCCTCAGGGAACCTCAGGGAGCCTCCAGCTGCTCCTGGCCCTGGGTTTCCTTTCCCAGGAAGGCGGCAGGGCTGCGCAACCCAGGCCTTGCTTGCTGTCTTTAAGGGCCATTGCAGTGAACAAACTGAGCACGCTGAAGGTGCTCTGATGTTCAGCACCACACACAGCTTTTGTGCACAACACATGCAAACTATGACAACGCTGCAAAGAGCAAGCTGAGACCAGAAAACAGGCTCTTCTTTAATGGGTCCCTAAAAAGCCATTTCAGCAACCGCCCAAGTCCGGTTGCTGAAGCGCCGTTTGTCTCTTGTTGCTCCAGAGCCAAGCAAAGCAAGGACTCAGGCGGGTTATGGAGAGGAAGTTAAACCGAGGGTTACCCCTCCTGCCCTCTGGGCCATCTTAATTATCTCCACCTGGGGGGGGGGCAAATGCCGCCTGCTGGGGGGTGTCCCAGCCTGGTTTCTTCCCTTCCCAGTTAAGCCATATCCGCCAATCCACCTGGCGGCAGCGGCATCCTCTGCTGGCTACACCCTTTCTTGGGAGACGAGATACCTGGACCAGGAGTACCACTTACTGAGTGACAGCCTGCAGTACGAGTTGCGGTACAAGAAAAGAGGCCACCCTTGGCAGGTGAGGGGGCAGAGTGGAAAGGGGGGAATTCAAGGGATATGGGGCTCAAGAGGTCATCCGAAGGCACCGGCAGGGAGGAGTGACATGGGGACGGGATGATCGATCCAGAGCAGCCTATGCTTGGCCCGACCTCCTTGAAGGGCAGCTGGTGGGTTTTGGGCTTCAGCACCACCAGACAAGACCAGGCCGGCCGATGGCCCCAGCCAGGCAGCAGCTTCCTCGGGGGTGTGTGTGTGTGTGTGTGTGTGCAGTCAGTCTTCCTTCCCACTCGCCCTCCTCCTTTCAGGAGGAAAACCAGGAATAGCAGGGAAGCTGTGCTTAAATGTGAAGCACACATTATTTTATCTGCAGCCAAGACGTCCTAGGAAAATTAGTGTCTGGGAAAGACTGATGACCTTTTCGCCTTTCTTCGACTAACACTCCCACTTTTTAAGAAATGCAGATAATGCTCGTTTAACAAAGTGAGCCTGCCTCATCTCCAAGGCTGGGAGAAGGGCTTTGGGCTTCCTATTAAAAGCCGCGCTTTGAAAAACCGGGCTTCCTCCAACCCTGGCACTTCCCTGGCACGATGCAAAAGGAAAGGCCACCTCCTTGGCCGCACCACACGGGGGTCCCAATTGGGATTGATGCCAGGGGTGGGATTCAAAAATCCAAGCAACTGACTTGCTGGCCGGTTGCTGGAGGGGCGTGGCCATGGTGGGCGTGGCCTACCGGAACTTCAGGGAGGGCCGTTTTTCGCCTTCCCAAGGTTCCGGAGGCTTCCCTCGGGCCACTGGGAGGGCAAAAACAGCCTCCCCCGGGCTCTGGAAATCCTCTGGAAGCCAGAAACAGGCCCATTTCTGGACTTCTGGAACAGGACTTCTGGAAGGCTCGTTTTCCCCTCCCAGAGCCTCCATGTGGACCTGCATCGAAAATGGCTGCGCGGAGACTCCTGGGAGTGGAGGAGCGGGGAGGGCAGGGCCAGCCGGTCAGTTGAAATACCGGTTTGGCAAACCAGATGAAAACTTAACATCTGGTTGACCTGAACCGGTCCAAACTGGTAGAATCCCACCCCTGATCGATGCCCTGCAGCCATTCGTACAAATAAAACCGAGTGGCACTGAGATTCGAGAACAAGGCTGAGTGTTTCTGCTGCCCGCAGCAAGCCACCATCTGGTAGTAGCTCTGCAGGAGCCATCATCGTGGCTGGCATCTCCCTCCCCTCCTTGGCAGAGTGTGGGTAGAGACTAGCTGGGGGAAGCCAGGGTTCTCCAGAACATCTTGGGCGATTTGGGGCATGGCCGGGTATCCACCACCGCCGTCCCTCAGGGGGAAAGAGAGACTGTTTTCTGAGGACAGTTCTGGGTTTTTCTCTGGCTTGCTGCGAGAGAGGAGCCACCACCAGTCTGCAGACCCAACTCCTGGGGGGGGGTCCCTTGAGGGGGCTCAGAACTGCGCCCCCAGGAGTCTCTCTTCCTCTTCCTCCACGCAGCGGCAGAGCCAGAAATCCCTCCTGCAGGACCTGCGCAGCTTGCGGCTTCTGCCCCAGGAGTTGGAGCCAGACACCAAGTACGAGTTCCAAGTGCGCTCAAAACCGGCCTCTTCCTACCAGGGAACGTGGAGTGACTGGAGCCCCCCCGCCTCCCTCAAGACCACACCCAAGGGTGAGCCCCCCGCATGCCTTCCTCCGCCTGCCACGCCCTCCATGTCACAGCCAGGATGGTGGGGGAAACCGGCAGTCCAGGCACGGCTTCCTGACCCCAAGCCCTTTCTTTGGCTTCTCCTCCTGGGTTACCCAGTTATCTCCTCAGTCCGGAGAAGCCCGAAGAACCTGCCCCATAGGTACATCCTGACCCCCAACCTGGCTTCCGGAGCCTTCCTCAGCAGCAGGCTTTCTGCACCAGCTGTTCAAGATTGGCGGGCCAAACTGACTCTCCCCCCTCCCTTCTTTAGCCCCAGAGCAGGGTGGACTCCAATGGCCGGTCGTGCTGGTGCTCAGCTCCACATTTGCTGTCCTCGCGTTCGTCCTGGGGTGTCACCAGAGGTGAGTGACATTGCCGGGGAAGCCAGCTGCAGGAGCCCCTTGCCCGTCCATGAAGGCTTTTCCACGTCTCCTTCCACTGCAGGGTTTTCCCACCCCCCACCCCCACCCCCCAAAATGTGTGTTATTCACCTCGCACCCCATATCCAAGGCAGCGGGGGCTGTATGAGCTGGGGCTGGTCTGCTTTGATCTTGCGAGCATCTCACGGGTCCAACGGCAGAGGATGGGGAGCAGGGAACCCTCAAGAGGATCCCTGATGAGCTCCTGGCTGTCTCGTGGTGGCCTGGGTGGGAGAATGACCAGCCCTCCTTCCAGGCAGGCCAGCCCCTGGTTCAAGGCTCCCCCCGGTTCAGGGACTTGAGAAACCAAAGGGGCTCCTGCTCAGCGCTTGGCCTTCAGCAGGTGGGACGGCATCTGGTGAGCGGCCTGGCCTGTCTTTCCCCTCACAGGTTGTGGAAGAAGCTGGACTGTTTCACCCCCAGCCCAGCCCCCTTCTTCCAGCCCCTCTACCTGAGCCACAATGGAGACTTCAAGGTAAGAGCCGGCTCCCTGCCACTTACTAACCAATGTAGTTTACGGGGAGGGGAGGGACTGCAGTTGAAGGGGTGCCTGGAGCACCCACTGCTTCTGGCAGCCCAGCAGGGGCTTCCTGTGGCAAGGAGGGCCGCCTGTGGGCAGCTCACGTGGCAGCTCAGAGGGGCAGAGGGAACAGCACAGGTTAGTTTCTCCTGCCCCCCACTTCCTGCCCCAGCCTATCCTGGCCACACCATGGTTTCCTCCATCACCCTCCTGTGGGCAGAGGAAAGCCTACACAGGCGGTCCTCTTGGCTGAAGAAAGGGAGCCATTTCCTGCCCGAGCAGCCAGCAGGATCCCAGCAAAAGGCACACTCACTTCTCATCCTCTCCACCTACATCACGCACTGCAGTCACTGCCAACTCCTGATTGCCTGTACAGATGCTCCTCTGCCCCACATGGGCAAACTAAACACACGTGGCATTTGTAAACAGTCGAGGGGTCTCTCTGCCCTCTTTGCCAGGGAAAGGCAGCGACACGGGTGTGCTGTGGGCAGCAAATGGAGTCCATAGCAGAAGCTTAGGTCTTGCCGAGCTGCAGGCTGGGCCACAGTTCCTGGATGCTCTGGAGCAGGGGTCTCAAAGCTGGCTGAGGAACTCTGGGAGTTGAAGTCCACAAGCCTTAAAGTGGCCAAGGTTGGAGAGCCCTGCTCTGGAGAACGGAGAGATAAAGGAGTGGGGGGGGGGGGGGGGGGAGGAAGGCTCAGGCTCAGGAAAGGTTTGGGGAGTCGTAGGCCGTCCCTGGATCTCTTTGATACCACGGGCACCAGAGGAACCTTCAGCGGCCTTCCAAGTTTCTTCTCCTCAAGGGGTCCAACTGGGTCTGAGCCAGGGAAAGACAGCCTTTCACAGCTCTGCTCCCCCTGCATATCCTCCCATCTGATGGGGGGGGGGGCGTCAATGACAACTCGCTGCAGCCAGTTTGCTGCATCTAACTTGCTGCAGGACAACTCCCTCTGGCCAACTCACTGCGGGACAAGAGTTACATTAATATCGAAGAAATAGTGGAATCGAATCATTAAAGAATGGATGCCCAAAGGAGGTACAAAACAAAGTGTGAATAACAACAATTAAAATATTTTTTTAAAATTATTTTAAATAATTACACTAAACTGTTGAATTGGCCCACAGCAAGTTGTCCCATGACACGTTGACTATGGTGAGTTGTTGTCCCATTCCGCTCCTTGGGAGGAGAAATAGCCGATGTCCATGGGGAACGTTTGGACCCAGGCCTTCCAGGGGGCCTCCTCTTGCTCCCTCCCTCCTCTCTAGCTTCTTGTTCTTCCTGGTGTTGTGATGGAAGTATCAACCCTGCCGCCCACCACCCTCCCCACCCACCGCTGCCCTTGCTTGGTGCAGGAGTCCCAGTCCGAGTATCCCCAATCGATGGCCGTCTCTAGTGGGACCCATGTAAAGAAGGGGAGTCCTCCCCCCCCCCAACTCCACACCCACCCACCATCAAACCTCCCACCCTTAGGAACCTGTTTAACCAGAATTATGCTTTTTGAGAGTCATTTCTAGCAAGAGGTAGGCCTCAGTGGGTCACAGAAATCGGCCTCCTTTCTGTGGGCTGCCCTTTGGCAGAAGACAGGGAGCGACCCGGGCAACTTCTGGAGCTCTCGAGGGATGAGGGTTCTGTCGACCATGCGGCTGAGCTGAGAGCACGCAGAGTCCCATTCTTTGGGTGGCTGATTTAGAAGGGACGCTGGAGGGTTTGTGGTTGGAGTGTCACAGGGTTCCCCCTTGTTTCCTCTGGTGTTCCGCATCTCCACAAATGCCCCAGTTGTCTGGGGACTTAGAGCAGCCTCCTCAGCTGGTGCTGACCTGCAGTTGTTGCTGATGTTCGGCATAGCTCCAAGCGAGGCTGGCACAGTAGAGAGGACTAAGGAACGGATCGTTCCAATATGACAAAGATACCTTGGCAGGTGTTTTGTGTCCATGGCAACATTCTCTGGAGCAACCAACCACCCAGATGGCACCTTCTTCCTCTAGATCAGGGCTCTCCAACCTTGGCCACTTTAAGACTTGTGGACTTCCACTCCCAGAATTCAACTTTAAGACTTGTGGACTTCCAGAATTCCTCAGCCAGCAAAGAATTCTGGGAGTTGAAGTCCACAAGTCTTAAAGTGGCCAAGGTTGGAGACCCCTGCTCTAGATGCCAAACACCCTGCATTTCTTTTCTTCTCTCCACAGAAATGGGTGGGTGCCCCTTGCTCTGGCACGACCCTCGATCCCTTTGAGTGGGGCATAGTTGTGTCAGAGATATTTGGGATCGGACACAAGCGTCTTCTGCTGAGCTGTTCTGAGGGAGACTGGAACGAGGGCCAGAACAGGCAGCCTCCGATGTCCGCTCCACTCCTGTCGGAACTCTCGCAGGCCTCTGCCACGGGCTGCAGTGCCACATTGGGCCAGGGCTACGGCCACCTCTCCATTGGCACCGTCACGGTGGCGGAGGATTTGGCCATGCACTGCCCCCATTGCAGCAGCGCCCACCCATGCTGGGCCCTGCAGGAGGAGCTGCAGGAGGAGACGGAAACCAGCGAAAAGACGACCTATCGCGGCCTGCAGTTCGACAGCAGCGGCAGCCTTGGCCTGGGCTCCGGGCATCTGCTGCTGGGGAACGAGATGCCCCTGCAGGGCTCCTTCCCCTCTGGGCCGGCCTCCTGGGTGAGCCACCCGCCCTTTGGCTCTCCCCCAGGGGGCGAGGAGAGCTTCTTCGGTCTGCTGCCTGCCCCCTCGCTTTTCAGCCCTTGCCCCCCTGCCACAGCCCCAGAGGAAGGCCTCTGCTGCAGGGGACCCCCGTCTCCCGACTGGGAGGGGGAAAGTGATCCCGTCAACGGCCTGGATCTGGACACCATTGACAGCGGCTTCGCAGACTGCGACTGCAGGAGCCCTGGCGATGGGGAGCTGGCGGAAATGCCGGCAGGCTGCAGTTGCCACTCTGAGCCGGGCCCTGTTGTGGGGGAACCTGAAAAAGAGGACTTTCTCCTGCCGAGATACGTCAAGCAGTGGATTTAGTCCCACAGCACTGAGGCACTCTGGTGGGCTGGACAGAGGCTGAGGACCGGCTCACCTAGGAGCATCCCACACGCCTCTGCCAGCTCTTGCAGGATTCTTCTGCCCCAGAGGCTCGTGATGCCACCTCCCCTCCTTTGCCCCATGCCAGAAGGTGCCCACCTTCCTTTTTGTACAGGTGTGGCGTCCTCCGGGCAATGGTGGAATGGAAGGCTTGGGGCATGAGAGGCAAATGGGAGGGGGAGGGGAGCTGAGCTCGTGGGATCCCAGCCTGCACCCAGGGGTGAATTGGGCCGGTCCTGCCCTGGTTTTCCTTCCCTCCTTGCAGTTAGAGTGGCCTTTTGCTTCTGCACAATGTTTAGCTGATAGAGATGTTTAAAGAGTGAAACTGACCTACAAGAATCAGGGGTTCCTAGCTGTGTGAATGTCTTGGGATTGTGGCTCTGCCATGGGAGACGCTGGACCAGATTCCCTTCCTGCCCAGGCTGGATGCTAAGACCGCTCAGATGGACACCGACCATCTACTGACCACAAATAAAAGCTTTCAGAAATTGTTGTCCTTGGTCCCCGATGGCCTTCAAGCTCACAGAAGTGATATGGATAGCCACAGGCTATGGGAGGAGGAGGAGGAGGTGACAATGCATTGTGCAATTATCGTTTGGCCACACCATTGCAGCACACACACCTCTGTTTTTCTCATGCAAGGGTTTGTTCACTTAGTGTCACAGGCTGGGACAGAAGCATCGTTCAACAAGAACATCTTGCGTTCTTTTAAAGCAAAGGGCCTTGTTCTTTCCAACTCAGCAGGATGTTAGGACCGGAATGACATGACCACCCTGAGGATACTAGACAGAAGGTGACGAACGTGGGAGGGGAGGAAGAAGTGGCAGCAAAGGCCGGCTGAGTTTGAAAATGGGCAGATCGAACCTGATGGGAGGGGCTGAAGAAGAGATGACCCAGAAACACACGCACACATACACCTCATCTCAATGGAAGAAGCAGTGGCTCAACATTTTGGCAACTGCTCCACTCTCAGCCCCTCCCATCCAGTCATGTGACTTGGAATGGAGCCCAGCAATCCTGAGCCTGCACACCGGACACTGCACACCGCTAGGGTAGGCAGCACGGCCACCAGAGGCATTTGCAACTGGCTGACCAACCGCACTCCAGTGTGTGTAGTCCTTAACAGAGCTACATCTGCACATGAAGAGAAACATGCCATGGGGTACCTCAAGGTTCTGTTTTAGGCCCAGCAATATCTTCATAAGTGATCTAGATGGAGCAGGGTCTGCTTGGGTGGGGGGTTGGACTAGATGACCTACAAGATCCCTTCCAACTCTGTTCATTTGTAATCTGTAGATGAGGGGAAAGAAGGGTACCCATCAAATTTGCACACAACACCAAGCTGGCGGGGAATTGATAACTCTTTAGAACAGGGGTGTGTCAAGCTCGCATCGTCACAGCATCGTCACGTGACGTATTGGGACATTTTCCTCCTTCGCTAAACTGGGTGGGGGCGGGGCCAGCATGTGACACTTGTGGTCCGTGGGCCACAAGTTTGACACCCCGGCTTTAGAAGAAGGACTTTGACAGAACTGAACGCTGAGCCCTATCCAACAAAATGCAATTCAGCTGTGAGAAAAGTAAGATCCTACACAGAGACCAGGAAAACCAAATGCACACTAACTATAAAGCAGGTGGTGCCTGACTCAACGTTAGCAACTGTGAGAGGGATCTAGGAGTCGTAGTGGACCATCACTTAAATAGGTGCTGCAGCTGCCAAAAGAGCTCATGCCGTCCTAGGTTGCAGCAACAGAGGGATAGTTTCAAGATCAGAAGGAGAGATACATCGCACTGGTGAGGCCATATGTGGACCCCTGCATCTAATTCTGCTCACCGTGATACAAAAAAGATGTTGAGACCATAGAGAGAGTGCAGAAAAGAGCAACAAAGAATATAAGGGATCTGATGAACAGTTGAGGCAGCTAAGTAAGTAAGTATGTCTAGTCCAACCAAGAGTAGGACCAGCGGTGATATGATAGCAGTCTTTTTGAGGGTTTTTTCACAGAGAAGAGGACAAGAAGCAACAGATGGAAGAGGGATCCAAACTAGAATTAAGGAGAAATTTCCTGTCAGAAATTTCCTGAGAACAATTAATCAGTAGAATAGAAGTTGCCTCCGGACGTTGTGGTGCTCCATCCCTGGAGGTTTTCAAGAAGAGACTGGGCAGCCACTTGTGTCCGGAAGGGTAGAGGGCTTCCCGCTTAAGCCAGGGCCTGGACTCCAAGGTCCCTTCCAGCCCCCTTATTCTGTGTTCTGGATCGGGGCAGGCATTACTTCCGGGGTCACCCCAAGAGGAGCTGAGAAGGCTCCCTTAGGGTGTCTGCTGTAAAGGGATTGCAAAGAATCCCATACCATCAAATGATTTGATTTACTAACCATGGTCTAAGTTCCTGCAACATGGATGAATGGGAAACTTGCCACAAGGGCTGGCTCCACAGAGACCACAGCCAGCCACACAAGGTTGTCTGTTGCACCAACCGGTGTTCTCTTTCCCGCTTCAACCGTTCTCCGCTAGTGAGTGAAAGACAGCAAGTGGACAGGAAGGGCAGCTGGGGGTGGGGGTGGCTGTTTGGATACAGCACCGGTTGGCTTGGAGAACTCCCGGCCCTGGGTGACCCTGAGCCGGTCACTCTCTCTCAGCTCTCGGAAGAAGGCAATGGCAAGCCACTCTGGACATCTTGCCAAAAAAACCCTGCAGGGGCTTTTCCAGGCAATTGTCACAAATCACCGCTGATTCAAAGACACGAGGTCCACCTGTATTGACCTAGGAAGCTTTGCCCAGCTCCTAATGCACCCAGCAGACACGCACACACCCTGCACTGCCCCCTCATCCCAGGCTTGGAGCTTGTGGGGAGGGTAAATGGCTTGCACCACTCCCACTCTAGAGGGACTGCAAGTCGGCCTTAGTCAGACTTGTCGGAGGTCCTGGGCACTTCCTGTCAGAAAACCAGCCGAGCTCAGTTAAGACTAAACGTGATTTTTGGGGAGGTGGGGCGAGGGTGGGAAGAACTAAGAAAAAGAAAGTCCATTCTTCACATGTTTTATCCTTCCAGCCCTCTAACCAACTTTGTTGCTCTTCTCTGCCCTCTTTCAAGAATCTCAACATGTTCTTATACGAATGATGCAGGAAAAAGGAATCTTCTTGTGACTCAATTCAATTCTCCGTTCTTCACAGTTACATGCAAAAAATTGTTTTCTGTGCAAGAGGGCCACCTCTTCCTTTTTTTATCTGATTACTGCCTTTAAAAAAAAAAAGTTGCAATAATCTCACCCAGATAGGCATCTTGTAACAGTGTGAGAAAGATAAACTGCCTTATCTTTATTCAGTTTGCCCGCTGCACACTGAAGGCCACCAAGAATTCTCAGTACGTAAGAAATTCTTTTGGTTAGTTTTTATTGTTTTTTAAAAATTTATTTTAAATATGGTTTTACATTCTGTAAGTCACCTTGAGTCACCATGGGCGAATAGGCGGCAATATAAATTCAATACATAAATAGCTTGGGAGGAAAAAAGTCAGTTTCCTCCTAAGTGATCAGGAAACCGGTGATATTTGGACGATGCTTTTCTGCCAGGGCAGATTCTTAAATCTGGTGTCACCCGGTACCATCTTGGTACCTGGTTCCAATTTTGCACTCCAGCCCGCAAACTCTACCTGGTCAGTGCCTGGCCAGTGGCCCTTCAAGTCCCTGCCTTCAGGTGCTGCTACTAAATGCCAAACTGCCCTGTGGTAAGGCCACCCTCACCTGTGACTTGATCAGGGCTTAGTAGTGTTGTCCTGTGCCTGCTCCAATTTTTGAATCTGGGTTTCCCACTGACTTTGCTTGTCAGAAGGTCACAAAAGGGGATAACGTGACCCCAGGACACTGCAACCATCATAAACACACGCCAGTTGCCAAGTGTCCGGATTTTTGTAAGGCAAGGATTATCCGCTGTGTGCCTGCTTACTCCCTTGTAACCCTTCCTCTCCCAAGAGTGCAAATACAAACATTGATTTCCCTTTGCTAATTAGCCCAACATCAAGGCGAGACTCCCGGAGGGGGGGGCGTGGGGGGGGCTGCACGATTTGCCCCTTTCCCAGCTTCCTCCTCAACCGCTCCCTGCTGTCTGGGCTCACATCCTTCTGATGCGGCAAGAAAAGGAAAGCTGGGGCACAACCACAGTCACACAATTGTTCACTTTGCTTAACAGCTGAGTTGCCAGTCTCAGCCGTGGGTGCTAAATGAGAACTGCTAGTATTGTGGATATTATCTGTCTCCCTTCTTCTTTTCTAATCTGGTATGCCAAAAATTTCCCTGGTTTGCTTCATATTCTCAAAATGTCTTCAGTCAGCAAAGTGTATCTTCTCTTGTAGTTCTTCCATTCAGTTGTCTTTTAGCTTTTTGCAATTTGTTCATCCTTTTTAGATTAATTGTATTGCACAATTTTGGTTTGGTTCTCAACCATTTCTTTTTTAGGAAAGGATGGTGAAAGAAACTGATTATCAGGATAGGATAGGGAATAAAATAAGAGAATAAAATAAGGAATGAGAGTAGAGTAACTGTAACAGAACAGAACTAAACAGAACAGGAATCTCAGCATCCTTTTCATATTGTGGCAACCAGAACTGGATGCAATTATTCCAAGTGTGGCCTTATTAATGCAGTATACAGCAGCAGTGCCATCACTCCCCATGATGCAGCCTAGAATTGCATTGGCTTTTTTGGAAACTGCAGCACAAAGCTGGCTCATACTTAAAAGGTAGTCCAATAGGATACTTAGAACCCAGTGATGGGATTCAATTTTTTTTACTACCGGTTCTGTGGGTGGTGCTTGGTGGGCCTGGCAGGGGAAGGAGACTGTAAAATCTCCAGTCATAGGCGGGATTTGCTGGTTCTCCGAACTACTCAACATTTCCATCACCGGTTCTCCAGAACTGGTCAGAACCTGCTGAATCCCACCTCTGTTAGAACCCTTTTGGTTACTACCGCTGAGCCAGGTACAACCAATTCTGTACTTATGCATCTGTTTTTTCCTGCATTAAGTGCAGGACTTTATTTTTCTCGCCACTGAATTGCAGCCTGTTGGATAGGGCCCAGTGCTCATGCCGGTCAAGATTCTTCTGAATCTTATCTTACCTTACAAAGTATTGGCAATTCCCTCGGTGTCATCTGCAAATTTGCCTGTTGATGGCCTTTGACAAAGTCCCTCACCTCCGACTCCCACCTCATCCCGATTCAACCCTTTCAGCCACTTTGTGGACTGGCTGGCAAAAGGCTCTGCATTTAAATTGAATGTGTTAATTGCGAAGAGGCTCTGACTTCCTAAATTCTGGCTACTGTAGACTAACAGCTTCTTGCTGGTGGCCTCCCTCCTTCACGCCACAAAGGCAGCAGGCAGGCCAGCTCCCTGCAGCTGCACCTTGTTCTGGAGTCCAGTTCCCGGTTACTCAGTGTCAAGAAAGTTCTATCAATCACCGTGTCCCCCGACCCCATGGCTTTATTTTATTATATGCAAAAGGAGAAGAGAAAGCAAAGACACTGAACAAAGAGTATTCTTACAATATATACTCAACTGTACCATTAGAACATGATTACTAACCACATTATAAAAAAGATGTTGAGACTCTAGAAAGAGTGCAGAGAAGAGCAACCAGGATGATTAGAGGACTGGAGGCTAAAACATGATGAACAGTTGCAGGAATTGGGCCTGGCTATCTAGGAAAGAGAAGGACCAGGGGAGACATGATAGTAGTCTTCCAATATTTGAGGGGCTGCCACAGAGAGGAGGAAGGGGTCAAGGTATTTTCCAAGGCACCCGAAGGCCAGACAAGGAATAATGGATGGAAACTGATCAAGGAGAGATTCAACCTGGAAATAAGGAGAAATTTTCTGACAGTGGGAACCATCAACCCATGGAACAGAAG